ATGTTTCAGTCATACCCTCCAGCCTTCATCAGGTGTCTGCCTATTCAGGGAATTTCAAACAAAGCTCTTTATTTAACCTATTTTCCCTGTCCATGTCTGGTTATCATCTTATTTAGTACTGCTCAGTGATTGCTTGCTCTGTTTCTACTGAGTCTGTACTACCCATCCCAGGGATTGAATTCACTTGTGGATTAAAGCACTGGTTCATGATTGGTGGCATATTGATTGTGAGTTCAATCTCTGGGCTGGGTAGTAGAGACTTAGATTCAGTGGAAATATGGCAGGCAATAGTTGAGCATTACTAAAAAGAATGAGATGAGATATCTCTAGTATTAGACAGAAGAATGAGGACAATCTACCCCACCATAGGTTAAATAAAATGCTTAGTTCTAAATTCTCTAAAAGTTACCTGAATCAACAAGCACCTGATGAAAGCCAGATGGCATATATAATGGACTCGTATTGGTGGTCAAGCAGACATTTGCCCATAACTTGGGAATCTCTCATCTGTTTATGGTTATTAAGTGCTTGCTGGAAGTGTATGAGGGAGTGGAATACAGATAAATCAATTTGATTAAGAAAAATCCAACATTTTGGGTGTCTGGGGCCCAAAAACATTTCAGGCTGAAATCCTGAAAAAACGTTTGTAGACATATCTTGATAAATGATAATGATATGATGATGGTTGAGTGCTTATTGGAAGTGTATGAGGGAGTGAAATACCAAAACATCAATTTTATTGAAAATACTCAAAATTTTGGGAGTCTGGGACCCCAAAATCCTCTAATTTGGGGATATCAAGCTGAAATTCTGAAAATGTATTTTTAGTCATATCTTGATAAATAATAATGGTATGATGATGATGGTTGGGATGCCATTGAAAGCATAGGAGGGAGTCAATGCAATGTAATCAAATTTGCTTGAAATATTCAAAAATATACCTGAGCCAAAACCTTAATTTGGGAATATTTTACCAAAATCCTTAATAAAACCATGTAAGATATCAAATGATATTGTATTTATACAGTGAAATATTTATCTGAATATAAATCATGAAATAGATATTTAGAAACACAACATTTTTTTAGTACATCACAAATATGACACTTAATGAAATCAATAAGATAAGAAGGACACCAATGTTTTGTATTCATTGTGACATCTTTGAAGTGCATCCTTCAACTCTTCACAACTTTGTGTTGTATGACCTTCTATTTTGCAATAGGAGCACTGTAAATGTTCATATACTTTCAACACCATAGGGTCACTTTTCTCCCAGAGAATGTTTATGCAATCTGATAGGTTATCAAACTGACTAGTTTTCCTTGCATAGTTGATGCAATACTGCCTCAGAAACTTGTTGTTTGCCTTGATACCATACTCAGTAAAATTCAGCAATCCATTGTTGTTATTCTCTTCAATAAGTTCAGGACTGTGAGCAAGTACAATGTGAGCACTGGGATTAATCTCTATCCATGAAACTGATTTGTCCAAAAGGGATGTGGTACGACAAAATTCTTTGTACTCTACAACCATTACCTTTTTACTGGAGTTAATGATAGTGAGAATGACTTGGTCAATTTTGAACTTCAATTCTGTGTTATCAATTCCATGTGTCAGCAAAGTTCGATTGCCGGTGCTAAGTATGACTTTTGCAATGTTACCTGTTGTAGATGTGCCTCCATGACCTGTTGGATCAGGTTTCTCCAAAGTGATCAATGTTTCTTCTTTGTTTGGACTGGATCTTCATTTTTACCTGTTTCAAAAACTCCAAGGCTCTGGAAACACAGTTTGATACATTGAGTTTTGCTTCAGACTAAAAATAATGCACTGCAGATGCATGATAGCATATTTTAAGGATCCACCCAAAACATCTCAATAGATTATGTAGAGGATGAAGGTTGTTAGTGTCTTCGGTGGTAATAGGACCCTGGGTGGCGACTTTATGAACATTGTAATCACCAATTTTACGATTTTCTGGATGATGAATCTCTGTTTTGCAAATGGCAAGTGTCTATTCCAAAGAGTGATCAATTTTGAAACCATATGAGAAGCAGTCAGCATTGTTACATTGTTCCTTACTGTATGTAGATAGACAGCAAAATGTACCTCCCAAACCAGTGACAAGACTGTGCAACATACCATCAACCATAGACATGTCTGTGTATGAGTGTTTTTGCTTATTTCAAGAAAGGATAAAATGAACAGGTGCAGTCTGTGACACATGCATAATTTTTCTTTTTATGACTGAGTTGAAATAAAATTTCATGACATCATAATTCCAGTGTTTGGGCAGTGGGCACAAAAATGTCTGAGAGTTTTCTTAAACCATTGCATGACTAGTAGGCCTGTATTAAGAGCACCATGCAACAAAGGCAAATTTCTTCAGCATTTTTGTCACTTCACAAAAACTCACCAAGAACTTCTTGTCTTTGCAAATTCAACACAGAAATACTGAACAACATCAATTACCTGAAGAAGTATTTGACTTCCTGTTTGCTCATGAAACAGGAATGTCCCTTTAATTCATCATTCCAGTTTCTCAACTTGTTGACAGGAATACTTGAATGTACATTTTTTATTGTGAAATTGAGATTTAGAGAACCCCAGGAGCCAGTTTTGAGGGCTAAAATTGGGCAAAAATACCATGAAATGGTGGTTTCATGCCCTAGATGACCAGATATGAACTCACAAGTGCTAAAAATGGATTCAGCACTTTCAAAAGATATATAGATAGAGGTCTTGGTCATTACATTTGGCTAAAAATCAGAAATAATAACAGAAATAAAGTAAGTTTTTGTATATTCGAAACTCCCATTTGATACCAGGAAAGGGATAAAATTCTACAAGCAAAATTTTTCTATGGAATAGATTTTAGTAATGTACCTGAGAGTAAATTTTTTTCAACTAGACATTTTCGGAAAGGTTTCCAACTCTCAATTTTAAATTGTAAACCTTAAAAAATTCATCTCAAAGCTTTTTTGCAATCATTCCTTAAATGTAGACGTCGGACCTAAATTTGGACCAAATTTGTGGGGCAAAAATGTCTATTGTTCAGGCTAATTTCTGCAAAAATTGCTAAAACCTAGAAAAATGACCCTAATTCATGCAGATATTTCAATCTTGTGTGTCTGTCAACTTCAAAATGCCTTAAAATGGAGGTATTGGAGATATTTTAGCAAATTACTGGCTAAATCTTTACTTGGGCCATAATTTTGCAAACATAAAATCCTTTCATGTTAAAATCTGGAATTCATAAACTTCAAATGGCCACATCTTGGAAAGTATTTGGAGTTAGATAACAAATGAGACCATTTTTGGACACCTGAGATAATGAACTTTACAAATTTTTAGGTCTCAAATTGTTTTAAAAAAGTTGTAAAAAATTCATATGTCCACTTGTTAGCCCACTGTGGCACAATGGTGAAAACATTGTGATATTAACAATGAAGATGAGGACATTAGTCTAAATGTAAATAATTGAAAAAACAAAATTCAACATAAAATTACTCAAAGTAGGATGCTAGATAGTTTTGATCCCTGAAGCTGGTCAAAATATCTGAAAGACCTTGGAGAAATAAGATTGGGAAATATATTTATAATCTTGAACCATCAATAAAAAATAGTTGTAAGAAAATAAGAAACATTTAGTAACCTCTTAGAAAGAAAGAAATTTTCTTAATTTTCTCTATAAATATATATGTGTATATTACACATACAGAAATAATAATGAATAATCATAATAATATGCTACACCATGCATGGAACTCATGGATTCTGATTTTAATTGGTTGGAGATGTTAACATGTACATATTTTATCTAGGTTAATTAAGATAGGCTGCAGTAAATATCCTGTTTAATACCATAGATTTGCTGACCATTATCTAGTTAGATATGTCCCCTAGGGGCTGATGAACAGTGCATCTGTGCTCAAGACTGTGAGTAATGGGAGAGTATTATACCCTGGTGTAAAGAGAGTTGATTTAAAATAAAAAGTTTTAAGGATTAGGCAGCTAAAGTGACTTAAGAGCGACATCTAGATACTTGGGAACAATTGGAGACCAGTCTGAGTTACTTGACCTGGAGGTATTTCAAACTGGACCACGCATATAAGGTTATGTGCAGTTATCAAAATCTATTGTCATGGACATTTGGATGTGATGTATGTGCCTGGTATACTCTTATCAGACTGGGTGTCATGATGGGTATATTGGGTTTTGTATATGTATACTTAAGTGCTACTTTCATGCAGTAATAATAATAATAATAATAAAAAAAGTTACTTGACAGATTGTCATAAATTATACTTATTATAAAACCCAGGTTGTGTGTGTGCGTCTGTACGTTTATATATTGGATCGGATTTCCTACATTTTTCAACCGATTTCAACAAATCTTCACAGGACTACATAAAATTACCTTGCGGTGGTTCTGACAGTGCCAAAAATTGGAAAAACACAATTGTTTTTGCACGAAATCAATTTGAAAACATGATTAAGAGGCATCGTGAGAATGAAAGGGTGACAACTCATATTGAGTTATACTTATTATAAAACCCAGCTTGTTTGTGTGTGTGTGTGTGTGTTCGTTTATATATGGGATCGGATTTCCTACATTTTTCAACTGCTTTCAACAAAATTTCACTTTTTTTTTTGGCAGGTAGTATTTCTTATTGTCTTGCACACTTTTTTCATTATTTTTACATTCAGAATGCTTTAAAAATTCCATTTACAAGACAATTGTTTATAATAAAATTCTATTCAATCGGTAGACTCATAACGATTGAAAACAATGTTTTTGGGTTTGACCAATTTGTAAAAAAAAAAAAAAACTAATTAAGACATGCGTATCCATCAACCATAAACAATAATCTTTGTCAATTTTGTTTTTCAGTCTTTATGATGGTCGATACTTGATCTATCTCTTACTGTTTCATCCCCGGGCACCGCCGGGCTCTACTGCTAGTGTTTAATAAAATTATTTTCTTTTCTAATTTCAGATTTGTGTGCCCATTTGCTGAATCTTGAGGATCAAACCATGAAAAAGCGTAGTAACCAAATTAGGATTCTGACTCTTCGTAAGGGTGAGAACTTGGAGACAACATTGTTCCGCCTTGAGAAAGGTGAGTACAATAATTACATCTGGATGTCTACATTTCTGAGTGTGTGTATTGCTTTTATTGAAAAGTCATTGCTTATTTATTTGCCCTAAAGTTAACATCAGTTTAGATTTATTCACACTCTCCAGTATTAGAAACTCTTAAATTGATGAATTTGACTTATTTTCACCAACAAAAATAATTTCTGAATTTTCAATTTAAAAAAAAACCCCAAAAGACATCATTGTTGAGAATTCAAAATCATTCAAATGATCCTTGGTAAGTGATCTCTCCTCTGACTTAGCTGTCTAACAGCTCAGTGGGGAGGGGGGGGAAACTGGCTGGTCACATTTAATCCCTCAAAAACCAAACTAGTGAAATTCCCAGAACTTTCTTCGATCATGATGAACAGCTGCTCCTTCAAGTTTTTTAGAATCAATGCCTGTTCAGGTAAGAACTGTTTGTCAGGTATATGGAAGACCAACACCTTTTGTGCAGAGGGTCATAATCATGCAACAGATAGTATTGGTTACATGTAATCCATTACTACCTGCTGCATGGGTGGGTCATCAGCAACTAAACTGGTTACCTGATCAGGCTATTCTCGTAAGGTGGGTGGCTAGAAACCCAGCAGGATAAAAAAACAAGACCTGTCAGAGGGCAAATAATCCTTCTTGTAAGGGTCAATGGTCCTCTAGCACAATAGGGTTGACTAGGCTTCGTAACTATGTATGCAGCCACTGGGGTGGTGATACAACATCACTAGGTGAATGGTTTTCTAGACTGAAGTCAGCGGCCAGAGTGGAGGGTTTTTCTGAGAGAATCAATGGCCCACATGGGTGGGCTACACCATGTATACTTGCCCAAGACGTATTGTGCTTGAATGTACTAGTGAGGTGCTCCGTTGTGCAGTGACCCTATGATCGTCCCCTGTCGTGTGACTGATCATGATCATGATTATGATGATGCTGATAACCAGTATGCATTGTAAAATCCTGAGCCTAATAGTGTTCTCCTGTTGAATTTTTCTCATTTTGCTTTTTTTGTTTCTTTCTTTCAGAATGGATCCTACGTTTTGTTCTTGGCCCATCTCTTCATGCCGACAATATTCGGATGTTTACCAATCATCCCCAAAGTCGCTCTGAAGTATTCAAGCGACAAGTGTTCCGCGAACTGAAATGGTCTAGTGCTTGCAACATGAAAAATGACCGTCATGATTCTTACATTGATATCCAGATGGTCATTCCTGGTTCATTCAATTACTACTTCACTATCGATGGCAGGTCAGTACTTTTGTACATACTTGTACTGGTGGCTATCATTTTAATACCAATTCCTTGATTAAAGATAACCAATCTTGCTTTCTTATGCACATATTATCAGGGCTGTCTGGTGTTGTCCATATATTGTATCAAAATAGCAGTAATATACAAATTCATGATGGACAATATTAATAGTAACATTTATATTTAAACTTGGTGTTATTTAATTTGTTCATTATAATTTTTTTTTAATCATTTCACTCCAATCAATAAATCAATAATGCTGCTAAGACATCAGGGGTTATTGAGAATGAAAGAGAGTGAGAAGACTTTAGCAAGGAGAAAAGACAATAAAAGAACAGGATTTAAATAAATATATAAAGTAAAGTATTGTTAACTCTTTTCTAAAACATTGGTGTGTATTTTTGTCCAGTTTAAACTCCAAAACTAAAACATTTAAAACCATACATATATTCTGATTAAGCATGTTTGAAGGCATGTTTTCATAAACAATTTATTTCTGTACTCTTTGTACAATCAAAGGTATTAGTAAGCTAAAACATTTTTTCATTTTAATTCAATATTTAAAAATTTTTTTTAAAGATATTTTAAACTTAATATTATTCTAATGGATAAATAGTGGAAATTTTTTGTAAGCAATGGGAGCCTATTGTTTTTCATGGACAAATGTTTGTGATTTTAAAACAAATAAGCCCTTTATTAAATGAAATTATTGCTTGTGCATTCTTTTAATCTTTTCAATTTCAGTTTAATTCAATTGTTTGACACTGTTTATTGAAAATATAATTAGATAACATAGGTTTTATGCATATAAATAAATATTTAGGTTTTTATATTTGTATTTTATATAAAATTAATCATTTTTGAAAATTCTCCTTTATTAAAGAAAAATATGAGTCTTCTACAATTCATTCATTCATTCATTGAGTAGTGAGTTCGATCCTCTCTGTGTGCTCTACAGTTTCGGCCTTGTGCCACATCTAAGCTTCATTTGGAAAATCATTTGGGCATCTCAATGTGGTGCAATAGTTAGCAAGCTTGTCCTGCTAGAATTACGATTGAGTAGTGAGTTTGGTCGTCACTGGGTACCCCATACTCGTGTCACATCGTGTCACCATTTATTATTAATTCATTAACTTTAATACTGTTTATTTAAAAATAATTGAATAATGTTGTTTATTGAGAAAGTGAAAATATCAGTATATTTCTTTTACTATGTTTTTTAATGCTAGCATATGTTTTGATTTAGAAATATCTTCATTTATGCAAAGAGTAAAGAAATAAATTGTTTATCAATGCTGAATCAAAATGTATATACTTTTAAGGGTTTAAATATTGTGGTTTTGGAGTTTAACTCATACGCACATACTTACAGAAGAATGCCCTTTATTATACAGGGTGAGGTGCAAATGCCTCCAACATATACCTCCAAGAAATACCTTCCACATAATGGTAAGACATTAGTGGCAATTATGCCTGTAACTCAGCATAGTATCTGTGACAGACCTCATATAGTGCAGTAGCAACTGCAGCAATAGGTGTGTATTTGTCAAATTCAATGTATGGAGTTTTGAATACGGTTTGAGACTGGCTCTTTTTCAAAGGTTAAAGAGTCCAGTCTTGACATACTGGTAGCCAGTATGTCAAGAACAGATGGAGTCATGCTTTTGCCAAGGGCATTAGTGCAGTGCAAACACTAACAGTCTCAGCCAGAATTTGACTGACCAATTTCATTTGCTGCCCTGTTAACACATTGACTGCCACAGGTCAATTAAGAAACCTGACTTCAGATGCCAATAGTCAATTTAGGCAACAAAAAATTTTTATGATGGTTGCACTAGCGTGAAGTCACAGGTCATTAAACTGATGTTTTGAGCATACTGGTCTTGTTCAAAGATTATCAGATTATTTTAAGTAAAGTTTGCCAAGTATAGTTGCTGAATAAACATTAGGTAGGCATTGTGGGTGTTAAACAAACACAAATGTCCCTCAGCAGGTACCTGTAACAGATAGTAGCTAGCCACCCTAGCAGATGGGTGTAATCAGAAAACAAACAGCTAGCCATACATTACCTGCTGTTGATGTGTGTGTGTGTGTGTGTGTGTGTGTATAATATATATATATAATATTTATATAATATATATATATATATATATAATATATAATATTTATATAATATATATATATCAGGTCATCCCATAAGTTCTGTCTGAATTTTAACTTTTTGTTAAAATGAATGAAATTTAAAGAGTATTTTATAATGTCTAATGGAGCTGAACATTATTTTTATGTTTAGATGCATTTAAACTGATCAAATTTTATTTCAGAGAATAATAAAATTGAATTTTGTTTGATTAAAACCCTGCTAACATGGAAGTACCCAAGAATCATTTGAGGCACATAATGCTTTATGAGTTCAAGAAAGGAAACTCAGCAGCCGAAGTGGCGAGAAACACTCACTCAGTTTATGGAGAGGAATGTGTGAATGAAAGAACTTGCAGAAGATGGTTTGTAAAATTCAGATGTGGAGATTTCACCCTTGAAGATGAAGATCAAACTGGACGTCCAGTTGAGTTTGATGAAAAGCTTCTTGAAGCAGCCCTTGAGGAAAATCCTGCTTTATCAGTTGAGGAATTGGCAGTGGTTCTCAGTTCAAACCATACAACTGTTCATCGTCATCTTCAACAACTTGGAAAAGTTCCTAAGCTTGGAAAATGGGTGCCTCATGAATTGTCTGAAAACAACCTCAAATCCCGAGTTGACATCTGCTCTTCTCTCCATTCTTGCCAACTTGTTTCACCTTTTTTGCATAGACTTGTGACTGGCGACAAAAAATGGATCTTTTATCGAAATGTTAAGTATTGTAGACAGTGGCTTGGTAAAAGGGAAGGACCCCAGCCACAGCCGAGAAAGGAACTTTGTGGGCAAAAGATTCTTCTTTCAATCTTGTAGGATCGCCAAGGAATTATCCATTTTGAATTCTTACCACCTAATTAATGCTCAAATATACTGTCAGCAATTAGAGCATTTGAACCAAGCTTTGAGGAAAAAAAGACCTGCTCTAGTGAATCGAAAAGAGGTGATGTTTCATCAGGACAATGTGCTACCCCACACAGCAAGAATCACGTCACAAAAGATCAAAGAACTTGGTTGGGAAAAAATTTCTCATCCACCTTATTCTCCCAATCTTGCTCCTTCAGACTACCATTTGTTTCGTAGCTTACAGAATCATTTGGAAGAAACAGCTTTTGTAACACAGGAAGAGGTTAAAACTGACATTTGTGAGTTCTTCGAATCAAAGCCAAAAGAATTTTACAGTAATGGAATTAGTAAGCTTGTTAATAGATGGAAGAAAGTCATAGATAATCAGGGAAAATACATTGTCGATTGAATCTGTAATTAAATGTAACATTTGGTCACTTGTTTTCTTTATTCAAAATTCGGACAGAACTTATGGGATGACCTGATATATAATTCTATATATATATACAATATTATATATATATATATATATATATATATATATATATATATATATAATATAATCATTTACATTTCTGTTGCTTCAAGTCTCTACTTTCTCTGTGAGAAGATTGCTTAGCATTCACTGTCATAGTGGAGGACTTATACTACATAACAATTCAATACTCTTTTCTTGTTTCTAATCATATTTTTCTGTTTCTTAATATCAGGTGCCCAAAAAAGTTTTTGCTGATTTTTCTAAAAGAAATTAAAGATGCATATTTAAATTCATAAATGTATTTATTCATCAAAATATGAACCATCACATTCATTGATCTTCTCCTAACGGTTCAACAACTGAGCAATTCCATTTTTGGAAAAAGTTATGCACTTCCATTTTCAAGTCATCTTCATTATTAAATCTCCTGTTCTTCATATGATTATCTAAGCCTAAAAGCAAGTGAAAATCTGTTAGGGTGAGGTCTGGTGAATACAGTGGATGAAGCATGATCTCCCACTTTAGCTCTGATATCTTGGCAAAAGTCATTTTTGCAATGTGTGGGTGATCATTGTTCTGGAGAAACAAAACTTGTTTTCTGTTTACTAATGCAGGCTGTTTCTTCAATAAATTTTTCTGAACTTGTTCAAGTTGCTTGCAATATTTGTTAGCAGTTAAGGTTTCACCCATTTTTAAAAAATCATAGTGAATTATTCCTTGACATGTCCAGCAAACATACAGGAAAAGTTTTTTTTTGGAATAGTGGTGCCTTTGAAGATCACCCGGCGATAACCAATGATGTTTCCTCTTAGAGTTTTTTTACATGATCCACTTTTCATCATGTCATAATTCGATCAAAAATCGGTTCTTTTGTTAGTCTATGTAAAGAGCATATGGTAAGCCTCTGCAGTTTTTTTTTGCTGGTGTTAAGTCATATGGGACCAATTTGCTTAATTTCCATTTCTTCCCCAGCAGATGCAAATGCAGTCTTATAGTTTCATCACTTACATTAAACCTTGAAGCTAGTTCATGACATATTAAACCTGAATCTGATTCTATGGCTGTCTTTAAACCCTCATTGTTTAGGGATATTGGTTGTCCATCTTGAGATTCATCTTTGAGGGTTTCACTGCCGCAATGAAACTTCTGAAACCAATTACGTGCAGTTCATTCACTTACTGCACGTTCACCAAAGGCTGTACATAGCTTACGAGAAGCACATGATGTACTTGTACCAAGTTTAAACTCATACAACAGACAAACATGAATTACCAATTTTTTATCGGTCATTTTGAGGGTTCTGAAATGAGGAATAAAATTATATTAGTTATGTAATCAAATAATAACTGAATCATTCAACAATGTATTTGTCAATACAAGTTGCTTCCTGTATACTTATGCTTGTTAGTAACTAAACAGCTGGGCCAGAAATAAGTTAACAAAAATTGGCAAAATCTTTTTATGGGCACCTGATACTTTACTCAGCTTTCGGAAGACATCTTTCACTATCCGAATGTGCCTACAGATTTCTGTCTCACACTTTCTCTCCTCTGTTAATACGGTTCCCCAGATATTTAACTTGTTGCACCTGTTTGATTTCGGTATCTCCAATCTCTAATTTGGATATTGGGTTGTCCCTTTTCCTAACAACCATGCATTCAGTCTACGATATGGTGTTATTAAATGTAAAGGTTGCAGTTTCTTAAGTCCTTGTCAAATACTATTTTATATCAATATTCAAAATAAACAATTTATGAATATTTATCAAAACACTGGTCAATTTTTTTTATTTTTTTTTTTTTTTTTTTTTCAGTGATAGTTTCCTGAATGCTAATGGAAAAGGTTACTTTTTGGTAGACCCATCTTTGCCAGTTGGTGACAATGAGGAGATTCACATGGACGGCATCCAGTGCCAGACAGTCCTCTCAAAATCACTGGGTCCATTTGAAGAATGGAAAGCCCGTCTGCAGGTAGCCAAGGAATCTGGCTATAATATGATCCACTTCACTCCTCTGCAAAAACTTGGTGTCTCCAATTCTTCGTATTCCATTACAGACCACAAGAGTTTGAATCCCATTTTCAGCAAGAACAAACCAGTGACCTACAAGGATGTGGAAGAATTTACTCGCTGGATGAACAAAGAATGGAAGATACTTACTGCCAATGACTTGGTCTTCAACCACACATCTAAGTGTAGTGCCTGGCTGCAGCAGCACCCTGAATGTGCTTACAACTTAGACAACTCTCCCCACTTGAAACCTGCCTTCCTTATAGACAGGATCTTCCACCACTTTTCTCTGCAAGTGTCAAGGGGAGAATGGAAGCACTTTGGTGTTTCCCCTGTGATTGAGAAAGAGGAACATATGGATGTAAGTAAACACTAACTTTGATACTTACCAGCTTTTTTTTTTTATTGCATCTTCTGCCACATGTAGAGATTTTATTGCATGACCTGCAATTCAATACCAGTTAGAATGGTCTCCTTGGAATGTATGCTTACATTGCACAGTAATATCCTTGAAAGTCAATTTTGAGTACTTTATGATAAATTTTTATAAATGTTGAATAAATCTTTAGAGAATGAGACTAGGAGAAGAAATAGCAGTATTTAGTACTGGCCCCAAACTGTTGCAGGTCAATCAACTTGATTGTTAGGTTTTGATTAGAACTTATATCGAATCTCTTCGAGTGAGTGTTCATAGCCAATCTGAGTAGACTACAGATAAAGTTTTGATTAGAGATCCCAGGAGTTGTCATACCAGAAACCTGGTACTCTGTTTTACCTTCTCACTTCAACAAAGTTTAATGTCCTTGTTTTACTTGTAATTACCCAATATTACAACTTAACTATTTCTGCTGTGTTAAAATTTACACACACACAAAAGTGGACACTGAGGTCAACACCAAGCAGTGAAAATCTTCAGGCCTGATGATTGTGTTCCAAAATGAAACAAACTATTGTTGCTTGGTATTGATCTAAGTGTCCACTTTTATATTTACGTGCATTCTATCTCTGATATAGAGGACTTTCACTCATCAATATAGCATACTATAAAACTTATATATATATATATATATATATATATATATATATGAACAAGGTATATTCAGGCAGCAAGTATTCATCCAAACAAACTTGATTTAAAAGAACCATTTGTTGATTTTCTATTGTATTTTTCAATTTTTGAATAAAGTATTGCGATCAAAATTATGGTTAAACTGTCTGAAGTTTGTGTTGTGTTGCTGATTTGTTCAAGTACTTTCGACTGTCTTAGTCATTTTCAAGAATTGTTGTCCACATAGGTACTATATTGGTTCTTGAAAATAACTGAGACAGTCAAAAGTAATTGAACAAAGCAACAACACAGCATTAACTTTGGACAATTTATCTACAATTTTGGTTACCATACACAATTTCTTACATGTTGTATTCAGTTCTCGAGCAAAAACTCTTGAGAAATCCAAATTCCCCATTTGAAAGTTTTCCCAAATTGTGTGAGACGTTCATGGACACATTAAGTTTTAGCACTAAGTCACTAGTCTCTCTTAAAGGTTCTTTTGAGTGTATCGTCTTCCAGAACAAGGCCTGTAAGATAGGTCATAAACACCATTGTTAAAACTTAAAGGTCTCTGTATCAGTATTACGCTTTTGGAATGCATACAGCAAGCACTGGCAAATGTGTTGCTTTTAAAGTTATAATCATCCATGGAGTTAAATTTTGAAATGCCCTATAAACGATACACATTCAGATAGAAGAGATGATAAACTTGGTCCTGCCTTGTCTTATGGACTCATAATTCATAGCAGTAAAATATATAATTCCTTTTTGAACATCCAAATATACTGGGATCTAACTGAAAATGTCAGAACAAAAGACATAGGCATTTCAAAGAAGTTGTAATGCCAGTTATAGAAAGCATCAGCTTCCAATCTTTCTGGTAATTTATTAAACAAATTCAGTCGATTCAATCTAACTATTTGTAAAGGTGGGAAAGATATCTCTTTGATCCTTTGCACAAACTGGCCCAGTTCTGTGTTGGTGAATTACCTAAAAGAGGTTTTTTGATAAATCAAGCAAGAGAAAACTGATGATCATCCATAAAGATGTTCACCAGCAAATCCTGTCTGTATACACTGCACAAATGTTTTTATATGCCTCTATAACAGTACTACCCTTTCAGAATTAATTCTAGATGCACTCTTGTACAATTCAACCTTGGTTGTTCGATTCATAATTCATAGCAGAGAAATATGTATTTATTTTCCAAACACCCTAATAGGTTTGATGATCCTCAAATCCAAGGTTCAAATCCTTGTCTAAGATAAGATTTTAATTATTTTCAATAGAGTTTTTCATTGTATGAATTTTTTTTTTATTTATTTATTATTTTTTTGCCTCATTTGGACAAAATTCTTTATCTTTGTTGTTTGTTTTTTTATCGTAAAGTTTCAACTGTTTTACCTTTAATTTCAGCCTTCTTCACGTATCTATCATATTTTGTGATATAGAAGCTTGAACTATGTTTGCTATGTATTTCTTTGCCCAAAATGTCATATCCAGTGTTTCTCCTTGTGAGTTCTTGGAATTTTCCTTGTTTTACACTGCTCTTGTACACTTTTCCACAGAGCTTCTGTATACTTGACATGTGTTAAAATTGTGACCTTCCAATACACATGGGTCAGCCATACATAAACTCTATTTCTATATATCTGCCACATGTTAAAATTGTGACCTTCCAACACATATGGGTCAGGCATGCATAAACTCTATGGGAGTACCTAGTGGCAGAAAAAACATAGCCAACAGGTCCATCTTCCAATATACAAAAGATACCTGAGAAAGGCTGAATGAGTAGCAGTTAAAATGTTGGGATAAAAAGAAAAAACAAACACAAGGAAATTAGTGTGAAGGAATTAATATGTAATAAAATTTACTGTCTGAACATATATATATATATATATATGGATGCATTTCACTCTTTTGCTCTTAGCTTTTTTCCTTTCCATTCCTCCATTATTCCCTGTCAACACTGTTGTCCTTCCTGATCTCCTTTCACAGGCTATAAGGCACTTGCTGCACACACAAGTCTTCCCACAGTTCAGGCTTCATGAATTTTATCTTTGTGATATTGAAGAAACTATCAGAAAATTCCGTCGCCGAATAAAGGGTAGGTACATTTGTTTTTTAATTTCTTTTTCTTTTTTAATTAACTGGAATTTCTGAAATATACATTTCAGTGTTGATGATTCTGAAAGTTTATTGTTTATTTGCTTTTTATTTTTATTTATATTCTAGCCTGAAGGAATTTTTATTATTACTGGTTTTGATCTTGGGTGGTATTAATCTTGGTGTGGTATTAATAGTTAGCAAATTTGTTCTGCTGAAGCAACTACCACTGAGTAGTGGGTTTGATCCTCAATGGGTGCTCCATACTTTTCGCTCTTGTACCACATCTAAGCTAAATCTAGAAAATCATTTGGGCACTTCAATGTGGTTTAATGGCTAGCAAGACTGTCTCGATAAGTCAATTATGACCGAGTAGTGTGTTCAATCCTTACTGGTTGCTCCATACTTTTGGCTTTGTGTCACAACTAAGTTACACTTTTTAAATCACTATTACTGGTTTTGATCTAACTTGTAGCTTTTTGTTTTATCAAAATGCTCTGGATTGACGCATTCTTTTGCCAATTGATCAGACAGAAAGTAACTGAAAATAAAGTAGTTTTTGACAAGACATCACACACATCACTTTTTCATGATCTTTTTTTGGATGATTTATTAGAGCACAAATCTAAAGTTATCCTGCCATGCAATCCTTTCTTAATCTCTTGTTCATCTTTGTTTTATCTGGTAGTAACAGTTATTTATTTTGGAATTTTTAGACAAAGCATTTTTATTATTATTTTGAGTTCAGTTCCACTCTGTGTTCTTGTTGGTTTTCTCTCACAAAAAAGACGTTGTTTTTTTTTTCTTTTTTTTACAATAAAGTTCACAGGATTACAGAGTAAGAGACACAGCTTATGGCAATATGTGGGTTGTATAAAATTAGAAAGTATTTATCCGTCATTAAAATCCATTCATTTTATTTCTTTGATGATTGCACTTATTTGCTTTTCATGGCTTCTTTATGGAATGGCTTTGACCACAAAAGGGGTCATTGATTAAGTGGAACATAAATCTGTAGTCATTTTGCATGTATTCCTCCAAAATTCCCTCCCACTTTTGTTTGGCTATCTAAAAGTTATTTTTAAATAAAGCCTTTTCACTATTATCATTTTATTACTAGTTTTACTTCATCTTATTGTTGCTTTTTTGTTGCAACAATCCTATCACAACTTCAACACTAAATTTTGAATGCACAATCCAATGTATTGCCAAAGGCAAATTTGCAATCTTTTCTCAACAGCTGCAGGCAACTTTCTCCTTGCCTCTTTGAGCAAATCCTTAAATGCGTGTGGATTTTATGAATATTCATCAGCTGATAGTATTTGAAGAATTTCAATCCTGCATGAACATTTCCACATAGGACTGAACTCACTACTAGGTAGTAATGGTCAATGAAAATAGTCTCACTAAACATTACCCTGATAGCTTCAACAGGTGGTTGGTTAATTTCACAACATGCCAACCCTGGTTGGATTATTTAATGTCAAATATTGTATGAGATACCCAATGAAGATTGAACTTGCTACTCAATAGTACTAAATAAAGGACTAAATAAAGGCTTTGGATTGAAATTCCAATGTATATCACAGGAAGAAGGCTGAAGTTTACAATGTCTGAAATGTTGGGAATATGATAATAAAGATTAGGACAACAGTCCAAACAATGTAAATAGTGTAAATAGCTACAATACCTCATCTCAGAAATATAGACAGATGTCAAATATTGTATGGGGCACCCAATGAACTCTCTAACCATTATATCAAACTGAAGCACTTTATTTGGCTAATATGGAATTGTGCTATTTAATGTTGTCAAAATAGGTACTTTTGGTTTCTTCTTTCATTTTTATGACTTTATAATGGATTTGTATGAAAAATGTATTTTATTTGAATAGTCTGAACAAAGAAAGGAGAAATGCTACCTGATTTAATTTTTCTTCAGATATAATGACTGGAATTGAGGATTTTTTTTTATCTTTTCACTGTAAGAATGTATTTGCTGATTCACATTTAGCCTACAGCTTCCAATAATGTTTTGTCCAGAATCTATCAAGTTATAAAGTGATCATTTATTTTCTTTCAGGAAATTGTGAACCTGTCAAAAACAAAGACATTGTCATAATTCCTGATGAAAAATTTGTCCGCATGAAGGGTAGCATTGATTTTGATGTGGCAGTGGGATATTACAACATTAATAGGTAAGCATAAAAAGAATATTTAAAAACAAAAAACTAAAAAAAAATATAAAAACCTAGGTTACTTATTGTTATGGGACCTTACCCATAATAACATAATGTACTATTCCATACGTAATAAATACTGCGCCTCAAGGGGAAGCAGGGAGTTCAGTCTGAAGTCTGGAGTGAAGTCCGTCAGAAGTCTATCAGTCAGTCAGAGCGAGTCAGTCGAGTCAGAGGCAGTCCGAAACAGTCGCGTTCAGACAATCACTACTAAACCTGATTTTTCGTACTAACACTTTCTACTCCTCTGTATATATTCCTGTTTGTAATATATCTGTTGTTATTCCATATCTGTATTTGAGTTCTTTTTTATTGGTTCTACCTTGGGCTATCACCATGGTACAAGGAACCGGACCATAACACTTATGATATCATTATACTTCTAAAATACCACAAACTTGATATTGTACTGAATTTTCTTGATTATACTTTAAGTTTAATCAAATTTAGCATAATGTAAAATTCTATTTCTACTATGTCCTCTGAAGATATCACTACATATACTACAGGCACATAGATTGGGTCTACTCTACATTTCTTAAAATGAGATACAGTGTATTTGCCTTTATTTTCCAGTTTTTCTCCAGGCTCCTCTTAGCACCAAAATGCTCAATTTTGAATTCATTTGTCCTCAATATATTTTGCTAAATTATGAATATTTTGTTTTCGCCATTAACCTCACAGTAGACATTTTGATATTATCAAAACAATTGAAGATTTGATTTAGGTCAAGTAAATCATGCAAAAAGAATGATATCATTTGATTTTGCAAAGACATGTCATACCATCTGGTTTATGCATAATTATAAAAAAAATTCACCTTTCAACAAGACAACAAACGAAAATACTCTTCGAAATTGACAAAATTACTTTAAGTCAAAAAATGGAATAAAATTTGGGAAATTATGACCTGGCCACCACAATCTCCTGACCTCTCTTCTATTGAATTAGTATGGGATGAATTGGATAGGAGAGTTTGTAGAGAATACCCAAAGAGTGAGAGTAATCTTTTTCAGTGCTTGAAAAATATTTGAGAAGGTCTGCTGTCTACTTTTTCAAGAACTGTTGGAAAGAATGCCAAGAATTTGTAAAGCAGTAATTAAGGCAGGTGGTTGATTTATTTTTTTGTCAGAATAAAAGCAAATACACTGTAGTTATTGAAATTTTATCTTCTACTTTAAAAAAATACAAAAATATCTCATTTTAATGTGTGTCTCAAAGAAATACAGTGTGTCCCAAAACTTTTTGCTTGTAGTGTACAAAAGAGTAATGTGGATCTCAAAGAAATATAGTATGTCCCAAAACTTTTTGCTTATAGTGTACAAAAGAGTAATTAACCAATTTTTATTTACCCTATTTACATGTGGACTATTGTCCCTATTTATGTTCTTGTTATTGCAATGCTTTAACTATTGTGCCCTCCAACATTCATCAGGTGTATGTCAATTCAGTTAACCTACATCTGCTGTTGTGTAGAAAAGAGAAAAGCTTCAGCAAGTGCACTCAACCATGACAAGCAGCAGCACTCATCAGCAGGAAGGTTAGGTTTAACGCTCCAGGTTCTCCACAGAGAATAGCCTAGTGGATTAAAGTGTTGGTTTGTGAATTTGGTGATGTAGTAATTGTACGTTCAATACCTGGGCTTGGCAGTGTATACTTGGACTCAGTGGAAAGGGGACGAGCAATTACTGAGCAGTACTAAAAATAAGAATGAGATATCCCTAGGCATGGACAGTGAAACGAGAGTAGTCAAGATTAAATCAAGGGTTCATTTCAGAATTCCTTGTTGGTTACCAAGATCAATATACGCATGATGAAGGCTGGAAGACACAACAGCTGAAATGTTGTGATAGCAACAACAAAGATGAGGACAATAGTTTTTATGTAAATAGTGTAAATAATAACTGCTCATCCCAGAAATTCAAACAAAAATTAACCAATTTTTATGTAGTTGACTTTTTTCTTGTTATAAGAAAATATCGCACAAACTCAAAATATACATAATTTTATTAGGCAAAACAATTTTTCCGCAATAAAATTAGTATTAATCAAAAGATGTTGGTAAAATTTTCAGGATATACTTATGCCTATGATATCTTCATTAAAATTATTAGTAAGAACTTTTTTAAAAAAGCTCTTGTGAATATTTCCAAAACAGCTAAAATCTACATGGCATGTTTATCATATGCAAGAAATTATGCAGCACTTATTTCCATTAACAACATTAATTAGAATGATTACTTTGCTACTTATGTAAATGTAAAAACACTTATTTTGATTAAATATGTTACTTAGAAAGATTACTTTTCTACTTATGTAAATGTAAAAAAGTCTTAACAATAATATAAGTTACAGAAGGCTATAAAAAGATACTGTTGATTATTTACAACTAGTTTGTTTAAATAATGCGCTAATGTTTGTGTCACATGGCAATAATTGTAAATAAAATAATGTACTAAAATAAATAACCAATCCATAATTTGAAGTTCTCTAAATTTATTGCTGAAATTGTATGTGATTATAATATCTGCTTGTAATTTCCCTCTGTCAATCCTATACTTTATCACCGTGACCTTGGAATTTCACAGTGGCTTTATAGACCAAATATTCTGTAGATGGTGTACAGAGGAAAAACTTGCAATTGCTATGTGTCTGTATGTATATATTCTCTGTTAGGATAGTAAAAACAAGAATTTTTAAAATAAGAAAATGAAGGCTTTTTGCCAAGTGAATATTTCTTCTAATTTCTTCATTTCTAATTCATTTATTTTTCAGATTGGAAATTGGCAACTCTGAAGAAAAGTTGGATGATTATTGCCATATGCTGCGAGAGAAGTTGCAACAAATGAATGACCAAGTAGGCCGTGATACTGGCCATCACATTGATGCTGCCATTAACAACTTCTTGGCCAATGTCCGCTATCGATTCTTGGCTGGAGATGGACCTAGAGTGCATAGAGTTACAACTGATGAACCTCTTATGCATGAGTAAGTTGTTGAAATATGTATATACTTCTTTTATGTACCAGGATCATGTCTCTCCACAACATCCTATTCATTATAACTCTCATTCCTTGATTATCTCCCCTTCTCCCTGTTCTGCAATTTACACAAGCTTGTAAGATAGGTTACTTGTTTCCTTCTACCCATCTTGCTTCAGTTTTTCACAGTTTTCCTATTTTAATATTCTGATGAATCTTAATTCTTAAGTTAATGATTGAGTAAGTTCATGGTGAGTTCTATGAAAACAATATAACCTTAGAAAGTCCCCTGTTACATTGTTAAATATTTGAGCTTAACAACTTTATCAAAATATTGCAATAACATATGAATACTGGTCATTATTTTAAGAAGTGGGTACAAATAAAAATATTTTCCCATTTCACTGAAACAGACGTTAAACACTTCTATCTTCTCTTTATTTCTTTTATTCATTTTCTCACTGAAACCAAGTAGTGTCTTTTCTTCTCTTTCCATACAATCAAAACAGAATAGTCTATTATTTATCAAGTATTGGCAGAAAACATTAAACACTTCTTACCTTTTTTTTTTTTCTTTCATTTTCTCACTGAAGCCTAGTCTTGTTTTTTCTCTTCTTTCTGTGTGATCAAAATGGAATAGTCCATTATTTATGAGGTCATTGGCAGGGTGTAACGGTCATGTGAACTGCCGAAGGGAGGGACAAGCAAAATTATAATTGGATTGACATTATAATTTCAGAAATGTTTTTCTGCTCAGTACTGCTGTTTTGTTTTATGCTGCCACTTTAACAATACACTGATACTTCCTTGCATTTAAACTGAATTATTTGTCTTCAGTTTTAATGAAAATGCATAAGATGTTATTATAAACCAGGGCCCAGCAAATGTTTTTTGAAGAGAGCCAGATTGGCAATGGATTTTGTCTTACAAGCCTAGTCATAATCATAGTAAAACTATGGATACATATAAAACTAAGATAACATATTTTTAATCATATATTTTAAAACATATTCTAGCAGCAGTGTTAAATACAAAGAATCAAGATAAACTGTTTCAAAATTTTTTTTCCTATTACCAAAATTGACTATCAGTGTGAGCATGTTGCAACCAAATGTGACACAAGGTTAGTTTAGAGTGGGTTTCCTATTATTACTGTAAAAATTTCACAAGCCCCCCTCAGCACTTCTTTTTTGGGGATGCCTCAGGTTCTGGGTCATGACCCCAAACTCCTCACGAAGTAGACTTACTGCCTTGGGAGATCGCTCCTTGGGGCTTGAGCTAGTATTATTTTGAAACATTTCTGGCAGATGGATCAGTTAAAAACAATTTATGTGCAGATTTCACCTGTTTCATCGTTGAAAAGTCCTTCTCACATAAATATAATCAACTAAATGCTAAAGCGGTCAAAATAATTTAAAGTAGAATATCCTTTAACTGGAATGATTTATTTTTAAAGTCAAATCACTTTTTGGTCTTCAAATTTAAATCTTTCTAGGATTAATTTTTTCATATAATTTGATAATCTTTCTCATTTATTATTAGCAACCAATTTATTCATTAATATCTGCTGAAACAAGAATTTTTCTTATTTTAGGCTTATCTACACACTTATGATCCTTGAAATACAGAGATTGATTTTGTCAACAAATTTAATATGCAAGATTAGGAAAGATAATAGGATTAATCAGAGATTTGACTTTAGTTATGGGGAAAAAACAAACATTAATAATAGAGAAATAGTCAGTTTATGTGATCTCTTTGGGACAGGCTCTTTTTGGCAACTACTGATAAGAATTTATATACATTGTTACTAAATTCAATCTTATAAATGTGTTGATATTATTAAAAATAATATAAGACAATTGGCAAAATTTTTATTTTGACATATTTCACTGACAAATCAGCATTGGCAAAATAATGGAGTTTATTTCACAATAACAAAATGTGAATCATGTCAAGTATAGGAAGACTTGATTTTTGTTAAGCAAAGTATTAAGAAACAGAAAAAGGTTATTAGAAACAAAGAAAATAGTACTGAACTGTTACATAATATCAGGCTTCCTATATGGAAGTGAATGCTGGACAAGCTATTCACAGATGAAGAAAAAAACTTGTTCTACATGAAAGATGCTGAAAATAGCATAAATCAAAAATGTGAACAACAACAAAGCTTTAGAGAAAATAGAAACAAAGAGGTAGTTAACATCAGAAAGATTCGAAATTTCTAGGGCACATAATGAGGAAAGAGGGCTTGGAGAATTTGATACTCACAGGACAGATTGAAGGCAAGAGGAACTGGAAAACAATGCAACCTAACTAGTTAACTTGAGTAAATGGATAGCAGGACAGTGTTTAGGAAAGATAGCAAAAAAAAAAACCCAGCATTTATTAAGATCTGCAATGGACTGGAAATTGTGGAGAATTGCCATGAAGGGATACAGCACATAGAAGAAGTATTACCATTGTAGAAATTAGATTTAAACTCATTTGAACTTGGTTTTTACTTATATGTATTTAAACATATATTCATTTGATTTAAGGTTTTCATATCTCAACATTGTTTCTATGCTAATTTAGTAAGAGTAGGTGATTAATTGAAATAGACCAGTCATAGGGGATTTATAGATCATGGTACTTTCAATACATCTTCATCTGAGGCAGAATAGAACTTTTGGGTGCTGGTGTTTTGGTATGGTCATTTGGGTGCCAGCTGATTTGGCACCAGACTTTCAGGTGCCTGATTTTTTGGATGCTAGGAAAAAAAATGTTGATTGATTCATCATCATTCAAAGGTAGAACTTTAAAAATTTTTAAAACTGTAACTTTATTGAAAAATAAAAAAGTTAAATCTGTTAATCAATAAAACCTGTAATGTAGCTTTATTTCCTCATCATCATCATTATCATTATCCTCCTCCTCCTCTTCCTTCTCCTCCTTTGATCTCCCTATGGTTGGTTGGAACTCCATTGACAATCCCTTTCCAAATTGTTTGGTTCTGTATTGCAGTCTCTAGATTCCCAATATCCAACCCTGAGTCCTGAGCTATGGTGTCTGGGGAAAGTCAGTTTTTGTGAGAAGACACTTCCAGGAAGATATCATAGAAGTAAGGATGAGATGGTTTTCCTGTCTGCTCAGTGCTAGTGGCCAGCAAACTGTAATTGTTTTTGTTTGAGCTTAAGAGAGGTTGGTCGCAGTTCTCCATAAATTGTGTTAAGTGTTGCATGGGATCTTTAACTGATATTCTGGATTTTTCCAAATAGATTTGTATATGTTCCATCTAGTCCACTTTCAAGAGGAATAGATAATGTCCAATGTTCTCATCCATACAGTAGGACTGGTTCAATCAATGTTTGAAAGGTTTGGATTTTTAAGGTGGTGGAAAGTTTGAGCACCAAATCTTGTGAAGTTTGTTACATGCATCCCATGTGAGAGCTTTATGGATGTTGAAGCCTTTTTGTGAGTTTATTATGTGAGATCCAAGATATTTGAACACTTTTGATGTATGTATTATTGAGTGACTTCAACTCTGATGATCGAGGGGAAGTTGTGATATAGTCTGTCTTACCCATGTTGCAATAGAGACCTACCTAAATTTCTAGAAAAGGAATCTTTTTGTACTGTTTAATTTTGATTCTTTTCTTTTCCAGTTACTTCACTATGCCTTCTAAAATGGAAAGTTCCATACAGGAAGAGGAAAAGTTAATGTACACTGATAATGCCAAATACATCATGGCATGTAATGGTTGGGTTATGAATGATAATCCATTGCGAAATTTTGCTGAGCCTGGTAAGTCACTGTAAATGCCTCATTAGATTGCTTGTTTTGTTATCAGTTAAGACAAACAGATGACTGTATTCATTTTGTTGTCAATTTGTTTATATTTACTCTTATCACAATAACAACCAAGATGTGGATATTAGTCCAAGTAAATCATTGCAAGATAATGGTACTTTCTCATCTCCAAAATTCAAGCCAAAATTATCATATCAGTATTGATCCAACATGATACTTCAATCAAGATGGTGAGAAATGCTTTGTAATTATACTACCCAAGATGTGGATATTAGTCCAAGTAAATCATTGTAAAATACTGTAAATTATGGTGTACAAATCGACCTGTCATACAAGTTGACCTCAATTTTTAGTTCAAAATTCTGACTCCAGCCTATATCTACTGTATAGTTTGACTTCCAATCATATAGTAGGCAACCAGTGGCCCTAAACTTATGCCTACTGGTAAAATGAAGTTATGTAATAGTATACTATATTCTGTAGCAAAACTATGTAAGGCCACATCACTTACCTATATATTGAGACACTAACTGTAATGTCTTTCTATATGTATTGTATAACAAACAACCTACAACATTCACTGGTAGGTAACATATATTATTAACTAGCTTAAAAGCTGATCTATTGGGCGGCATTTAAGCTAACTCCTGTGGAGGGCTCTTAATTAGGCCTTCATCACAATTGATAGGGAGAAGTAGATGCGATAGCCAACAATAAATTACAGAAGAACTTAAAACTGATTGTTGCATTTAAGTATTGCATTAACATTTAAGCTTACCTTTTAAAAGTTCAATGATAATTATTCTGCTGCCACATAATTTAAAGACACTTTTATGTATGTAGGTCCTTATTTCCTGTACAAACAATTATTTTTACTTCATAGGTGACTTTCACTGGATTTTGTAATTAATTTAAATTATTCCCAAATTTATTTCCAAGTTATAAAAGTTGTTATCATACAAAGAAATTTGTTGCAAAAAATGATGTTAAAAAAAAAATCACTGAAAACAATTGTAGTAATGAAAATTTAGGAATCTAAAATCTTAGGATTGCTGGTTTGGATCCGGTCCAGAATGTTTTTAATTTGTTCACAGAGTCGGCCTGATTCCAAAATGGTATGATATGTTGGGCTATGGCCTCTAAGAGTAAAGTTGAAAAGGCGTGACACACATTGTATTTATTAAATAGATATATTATCAATAAACTGCCATTATGTGACATTAAACTGTAATTACTATCATGAATTGTGCAGATGACATGTATACCATACCTACTTATCTGAATGGTTTCCAGAGTTAAACCATACTTCAGTCAATGTTTACACTTAGTGTATCAGCTGTTGGATGCAATGTCTGCTGTAGCATTAATAAAATACAGAATTTGTGTTACTATTTTATTATTTTATATTAATTTTTGTGTTAATATGCCAAATATGTTCACTAGACACAAGTTTTAGTGGGATATATTTGTGGCAGCCTACTGGAGTGGTGTACAATAATTGTTAAGGGTGCTGTCTCACTTGTTTTCAAATTGGTGGCAAAGGTTTGCAATTTATATCTGCCATAAAGTTGAACCCTAGCTTTGGAAAGATTTTTTTTAGTGCTTAAAAACTCAACTTGTACACTGCAATTTACAGTAATGGTAATTTCTCATCCTCAAAATTCAAATTATCATATCCGTATTGACCCAACATGATACTTCAATGGAGATGATTAGAAAAGCTTTGTAATTGTACTACCCAAGATAAGGATATTAGTCCAAATAAATCATTGTAAAATACTGTAAAATGTCATGTACAAATTGACTTGTCGTACAAGTTGACCTCAAAATGTTTAGCTCAAAAAAGATGAGGATATTAGTCCAAGTAAATTGGGGTATAATAATCTTTGGTTTACTTTGTTTTCTAGGTAACTTTATCTATTTCCGCCGTGAGCTGATTGGCTGGGGTGACAGCATCAAACTACGTTACGGCAAGTGTCCTGAAGATTGCCCATTCTTGTGGCAACACATGAAGGAATATACCGAATGCACTGCCAAAATTGCTGATGCCATTCGCTTAGACAATTGCCACAGTACACCACTGCATGTGGCTGAGGTAAGTTCAGATTGCAATATGAAATCCTTTCATTATCGGTGTTTGAACAATTGGCTTTTTTTTTTTCATTTTGGTTTCCCTCTGAATGTTTTTAACTCCTGAATATTCATCTTTGCTTATCTCTTTTCAGTACATGATTGATGCTGCACGTGCCATCCGCCCAGATCTTTATGTCTTTGCTGAGCTCTTTACCAGCAGTGAAGCTACTGACAACCTTTTCATGAATCATTTAGGCATCAACTCTCTCATCAGAGGTACATTTGTTTTTTTTTTTATTTGGAGTTTTCCTTAAAGTCAGTAGTGTCTTGGTTTAGATTTTGAAACTTAGTTTTGATATCAAGGATAGTTTAATTTTGAATCTCAGTTGTACCACTCCAATAAGTATCCAACTGCCCCTGCTATACTCTCTTTACAAAAGCCAGATCAGATCAAAAATGAGGTATTGCTGCCATATCTGGGCTGGGGCTGCTCAGTCCTCACTTGCCTGTCTTGATAGAGTTCTATGCAGCCTTGTGAGTGATTGATAATTTTCCACCTTACAACCTCTTTCCCACAGACAAAACATTTTTGAGCCTCTCACTTCTCTATCACTACATCTATGGCATGTGTTCTGACAAGCTACATTCCTTAGTCCCACCAGCCCTGACCTTTACAACTGAGATCCACAATGCCACATGCACAAAGTCAGGAATCATCCCTGTTCTCCTATTATTTCTATAGTAAGAACTAAGTTCCATTCAGACAGCTCGTTCTCAAAAACTGCTGCTTTGTGGAACAGACTCCTGATAGTGATTTTTTCCCAGTCACTACAATCTTAACTTCTTCAAGTCTAGGGTCATCTTTCCTGCATAACTCCCAAGAACTTCACTTTGCTTATACATCATCACCCAGTAACTCTCTACCTTGAGTGGCTCTTACGCCTTGTATTGGGTGAACATTAGTAAAAAAAATTAGTAATCCTTATTTACATTGTTTACACTCCTGATCTTTATTGTTATTATCACAATGTTTCTGGCCTTCATCAGACGCTTGTTGATCTGGGTAACCTTCAGGAAATTTTGAATTGAACCCTTTTAAAATTCCCTGAAGGATTGCCAGGCACCAGATGACGATCAAAGGCCATAACATCTGAAACATTGTGATAATAACAACAACAATGAGGAAAATAGTCTGAGTGCAAATAATGATAACACTTCAGTCCAGAAATTGAGTCATGTTTAAAATAAAAACAATATAAGTTTTATCACTTTTTCAAATTATAATATCCAAAATATCTTCTGCTGTGGAAACACCTGTAGGTCCCATTTTAATATTACAAAACAATTTTGTTTTGTAATATTAATATTAATGGTTTTATGTCCAGTTTATTGATAATATATTGACATTAACACAAATTCTAGACAAAATAAAAGAAAAAAATCTTAAAGAAACCTTCAAGGAAAACTCCATTATACACTTCCTTTTTGACCTAACTAATTTAGGCAGAATTTTACAAGTTCACTATATAAAAAAACACAAATGCAGGCATAAAGTCTTGTCATCTTAATTACAAAAATGATTTTTGCCTTCACAGTTCTAAAACAGCCATGATAAACATGATCAAAACTAAATTAAATTCTTCATCTCAGATATTATTTTGTAAAGAATTATGGAGAAATAGTATTTTGTAGCTAAAAAAACTTGCTCTATCCAATCGTGTGAGAATGTTCCCTGTAGCTATCTACTGTCCTCCTGATTACTCTTCTTCTATACTCACTCCTTGGTAATGTTTCTGTTTCTAATATTTCCACACTCGGTAAACTCTTTACTGCCTTGTTTGGGGCAAATTTGATTAAAAAAAATTGTTGTAGTTTCTGTGGAAATAAATAGCAGGAGTTATCTTGGGAGCAGATCATGTGTGTATATGCATGCATGCACACACATCTATCTATCTATCTATCTATATATATATATATATATATATATATATATATATATATATATATATATAATATAATATTAGGTAAAATATACACATACATATGCAAAATATATAAATATATATACATAGGTGCATACACATACATGTATATTTTTAGAATAAAAAATTCCAAGAGGATAGAATCCAGGTAGAACTCAATGTCCAGGACAGAGTAAGGATAGAATAAAAAGGCTTAAACACTAATATACCATAGAATATTAGTGTTTAAGCCTTTTTATTATATATATGTATGTATGAGGGTAAATCTGCACTTTTACTGTAATATACCTTTAGACAAGAGTGCAAATCATTTTTGACTTTTACTTGTGTATGTTATATATATATATATATATATATATATAATCAGTCAGCAACAAAATTAATCATACACCCATCAATTTTAAATATTTTTAAACATTTTTCAGAATCTAAAGCTCATATGATGCCAGGTTTTTTATATGCTAATAAGCACAAAAAAGGAATATAAAACTCAATTTTCAGAACAATAGGTTATATACAACAAATTTGGCATGTGAATTATGCAAAATAGGAAAAGACAAAATTAATCATGAATCTATTTCTTCTCCTAGTTATGGGTAAATAGCAGGTCCTATAGCCTTGGGTGGCAATTTGTCTAGAAGGACAACTTTGAATTCAAAAACTGAGGAGGGTCATTTGGGGCCCTTGTGACACACTGTGCACAATAGTTCCCTGCATTTGGCTCTTCCAAAAAGTGTGGTTACTTCTGCACAAGCCATCACCACTAGAATCCAACTATATGTCTGAATAGTCTGGCTGTTCAGTTCTAAGAACTCAATTGCTGTACCCTTGTACATTGAAAACAACAGGAGTGCCTGTATATAAATAATAGATATATATCAGTCACAAAAACTGAGTTTAAAAAAAGGTCAACCAGCATATTTGCAAAAGATAATGCTTTTTAGGTAAACAGTCTTTGTAATGAAAGGGGTCAATATCAATAAATAAATTCAATTTTAATATCAAAGACCCTGATAAGTCAATATCATATCTGCAAAACTCTGAGTAGAACAGGTGAGTTGAGCATTTAATTTTTTTGGTTACTATATATATATATATATATTTTTTAATTTATTTTGTGTTACCTTTTTTTTATCCAGAATCTTTAGCTGCCTGGAATGCCCATGAGCTTGGGCGTCTTGTCCATAGGTATGGAGGTCAACCAGTTGGTGCTTTTGTGCAACCTCATGTTCAGCCACTCACCGCCACCATGGCTCATGCCATCTTCTTTGATCAAACTCATGACAACGAGAGTCCTATTGTTGTAAGTAAACACTTTCAAGATTATTGCAAATTGATGGCATTGGTTTGGGCTGCAAGTAAATTTTGATTTCTCAGTTGATACATTTGTAGGCTTTTAAAATCTACAGTACCTCAGATAGGGGTATTTTTTCCACTTCGCTACTGAATGACACAAGGTCAGTTTAAAGTGGGTTTAATGGCAATAACAAGGGAAAATTGTTCAAGCCCCACTTTGTAATTGCCCTTTTGGGGATGCCTCAGGGCCCAAGTAATGACCCCAGCTCCCTCTTGAAGGAGAGGTACTGCCTGGGGAGATGGCCTCCTAGAGCTTGAACTTATTTTGAAACTTTCATCTTGTCTTCCTCCTGCAGTCAGCGTTTAAAAGCAGACAGGAACCAGGCTTCAGAATAGAATAATCTTATATGGTGAACAATCATTCAGAAGCAAGCGAGCCAGAGTGGCTTGTATCTGGTGCAAAGGAAAATAAGTTCCTTACCTCAACGTGTGGCACATGGCATTGGCAGTTTTGCTCCTTGAAAATGGCATTACTCTCCCGTCTAGCTATACCAGCAGTATCTGTGGTAATGAGGGTTTTTTTGTACAGTTTGGCATGTTTCGACCAATAGTAAGTTGTGTACTGATTGGTTGAACTGGAGGAGGCTATTTGCTTGGGTAACTAAGAATAAAAGCAAAAAATGCTGATTGGTTGGTCAGCCACAGTGTTGGCCTGATAAAAGAGGGCTGAAGCAGTGAGAAGGGGAGAATGGGTTTACATTTTGAAGTGTGTGGAAGACAAAAACGGCGGATTGAACCAGTGGCATCTTGAATTGTATGAACAATGTCCATGTGATAGAGACTCATTTAAATTACATCTTACCAGTCTGTTTATTCTCAGTGTTGGCTTATAACGATCGTAAAATGATTCTTTCCATCAGAGTCAAATTATATTTGAAAAATAAAGGAAATGTGAATGGGGAATAAATACTAGTTGAAATACTTGTTTTCACTGGATAAGAGTTCAAAACTGGTTATGATGACTGTAAAATGATTCCTTACTTCTGATGATGATCTAGTAAATCTTCTTTTAGTTAGACTCAAGTTTATATTAAAAAAATAAAGAAGTGAACAAATACTAGTTGAAATACTTGTTTATACTGGGTAAGTGTTCAAGATTGGTTATAATGATCATAAAATGTTTCTTTAATTCTGATAGTTTGCTTGTTGGATTAAAGAAATGACACAATTAAATTTGCTTCACATAATTTCTTGTATGAAGTTGAAACAAATGAAGTAGAAAACAAAGAAATAAACTATTTTACAACCAATTTACATTGTTGATGCTTTTCATGACCTTGTGGAGGTTTTCATTTTTATATAACCTTGTAAAAACTTACATAAATTTAGTGAAAAGTGAAGGTTTTGTAAATATAATAACAGTTTTATATGCATAAAATTTTACAACCAAGTTTTAAATTTCATTCTTGGTAGCAAAGTGTTTCAGTCCTTTAAATATATATATGTGTGTGTGTGTGTAAATCTATATCAACTCAACCAGTGGTCCCATTGATGAAATTTTAGTATGTTGTACCCACCTATAAGAAACTAAGCCCCCAAATGTTAGCTTCCTTAACCTCTTAGTTCAGGAATTATAACCTCTTGAAATTTGGTGTCAGATTTTGCTAGTTTCAAAATAGTATGATTTATCAACTTCGATACTTCAAAACTTTGCATTCTAAGATACCAAATTGATATGTTGTAGTCCTGTAGCCTAATCTATAGAGAAAACATCCAGCTGGTTTTCAAAAGCCAGTGCTGAAAACCTTGTTAGCATAATACCCAGAAGAACAGATAGAATTATTTATATATGAAACTTAAGAAATTTTGTAAGCCCTGGATATGAGTACAAAGTAAATTACAGTGCAGATTATATGTACAGCACTACTTCCAAAAATGTTCACAATATGAGCAAGGAAAAGTATGCGTGATTGTTTTATTTCTTATTTTATACAGTTTTACATAACATTTGTTCATTTTCATAGTGTGGGATTTAAACAAAACAATTTTCATTAAATATACTGATCTACAGAACATGCTTCTTCTTTATAAAATGAGGAACTATAGAATTTAAAGGACACTCTCTTGCCCAAAATTAGTTCTTTAAATTGAGATCTAACTGTATTATCACAAATTATTTATTATTTTTACTGTACAAAAAAATGTTTATGGAACTTGAAAATGTTGATCAACCTATTCATCTGTAATAATTAACTGCTATTTCCTGTCTTACCAGAGATTTCACAATATTTTCAAATTACTTCATCATGAAATAAATACTCTTATTTTCCATCAAGATTTTCCCCCTTTCTTTGAGAAAACCATTTTGTACCTTAAAAATTGTATAATGCATAATATTTATTAATTTCCAAGATTTTTTTTTGTATATATTCCTCTAATATCTTCCTTATGTTTCTTTATCTTAATTTATTTTCATTCTTTTACAGAAACGCAGTGTCTACGATAGTCTCCCTTCTACAGCTCTAGTGGCCATGTCATGCTGTGCTTCTGGTAGTAACCGTGGATATGATGAATTGGTTCCCCACCATGTAAATATTTTTGTATTGATATTTCTTTGATAATATTCCTTCAGACTGAAGCAAATGCCACATCTGCTTTTTTTTTTAAAAAAAATATTTTAACCCTACTGCCCAAAAAATAATAGTATTATTTTAGTATTTTTGCAAATTGTATTTATAAAATTCCCTCAGACCTTTGTTGCATTTTCAATTTTTCCTGAATATTTTATTAAACAAATTTTTTGTTCTCTACAAAATAATTAGGATTTCTACATCACCAGGTGAATGACAAAAATTTGTGATGTAAGTAGATATATATATCTATACCTAGCTAAATAATAATAGTTATAAGTATGCATAAAATTATGTAATTTATATATATATATATAGTCATCCACAGACAGACTGTTTTCTGTATCACAGCTCTTCAATGTGGCTAGACGTTCGATTGCTTCAATCCAGGATTGAAACCCGACAGCTTTGACATCAGTCAGAGATCCTACCCTAGACTATCATTACATGGCAGATATATATATATATATATATATATATATATATATATATATATATATCTTGTCTTTTCTTGACTTAGGAAAATTGTATTTCATCTTATATATGCTCTGTTAAAATAAAAACATTGACCTCTCTGTGGATCAGTTTTAATAACTGATATTACTAGGACCCACCTGGATTATATACCAATGGATTGATTACCTGTACTATATATATATTGATTATATATCAACGGATCAATTACCTGTACTATATATATATGTATATATAAAGCATGAAACAGATTGTTGCCTCTGGGTGTTGACTTCAGTGTCCATTTTTATATTTACATACACTTTAACCCATAAATATAGTATACCTTAATATATATATATATATATATATATATATATATATATATATATATATATATATATGGTCGACTCTCCTGTCATATTCGATGTATGAGGCTCATGCAGCTCAGTTCCTATGAACCAACAGCCCAGACATAAGCACATATGATTTGATTATAGTGGTGAAGGCTTTGTGCAGAACTTGGGCCCTGTATTGGTTGATCATTAGTATAAGAAAAATAATTTAATTTGGTGTTAGTGATCTTATATATATATATAAAGGGTGTTTCAAAAGTTGCATTACCATTGAAAAACCTTGTAAATTTTATATTTATTTACCAAACGTTTTTCAGTATGTGACCATATTTTAAGAAATTTTATTGGTGAAATTATGGAAGATGATTTCATGCAAATTTCCTCTGGTTGCTATTTCAGTAGTGTACATTTTCTGCCAATTGTCATCTAACTTTTGGGGTACCCTGTATATGCTGTATAGGGCCACCAGTGTAGATTGAATTCACTATTCACTGTTAATTGATCTAGCTGGACAAGCTTACACCATGTTGAAGTGCCTAAATAATCTTGTATATATATGTATATATGTGTTTCTGTGATTTTTTTGTTGTATATATATATATATAGTGTTGCCTTTCTTATATTGGTATTGGTGTACATCACCTCTTGCATATTTTTTTTTTTTTACAGATTCATGTGGTGAATGAGAATCGAATGTACATGCCATGGACTTCTAAAGATTCCAGTCCAACTGAATGCACCATGACATCTGGCATTTTGCGAGGCAAAAAGATCCTGAATGATTTGCACAGTTATTTAGGAAAATCAGGTTTTAACCAGGTCAGTCATCTCTTTTTTCTCTGACTCTTTTCAATTTTTCTTATACTTTCACCCAAATATGTTCATTTTCAATTAAACAGATAATAATCAATGTATTTCAAATATGCTTTGTTACTGGTGCTCGTTTACAAAACTTACATTGTCAGCTGTCAGAATAAACATAGATTTTCAAGATGTACATTTTTATGAAATTTACTTACTAAAATTGCCTGCTGTTGGTGTATATATATACATATTCAACTGGTACTTATGCATCTTTACAAAACTTGCATTGCCAGCTGTTGAGATATATGCTTTCAAGATGTACTTGTATATTTTTACAAAACTTCCATTGACTACTGTTGATGTATATATATACATTTTCAAGATGTACTTATAAATCATTATGAAACTTACATGGCCCACTGTATATATGTTTTCAAGATATGTTGTCAGCAAAAGAAACACCTTAAGATGTAAACTATGAATTGGAAACACTAAAATCAAGCAAGTAGAAAAAAAAATTAAAGATCTAGGCAATTTTTTAACAGAGGATGGAAAATGTGTTTAAGTTTAAATTTACATTAACAGCTGTTATAAGTTTTCGTCTTCTTTATGTGCTGTATTAAGGACATAGGCGATCATAGCCCTCCCCATCTTTCTGTCCCTTGTAGCTTTTAATATTTGTGTTCTTGCTGTTTCTCCCAAACCCTGTTCTACCATCCATCTACTCAAGCCCAACAAGTATGTTACACATTGTTTTCCTCTGTCTTGCTTTTCCTCAATCTGTCCTGTGAGATTAAAGCCAAGTTTTCTAATGTTGATTTTCTAGGTAGGCAACTTCCTTCTTTAATTTGGTCTTATTCTGTGCAATGCTCATCTTATTAAATATGGAGAAATTCCGCCTTTTTTTTTTTTTTTGTTCATTTTTACCAAAAGCCAGTGTTCATAATTTGAAAGCACAATAATCTTATTTTAGTATCATGTCTGGATTTTCACAGCAATTTGCTCTTGGTAAATCAAAACATTTCAACCTTCTTAGCAACCAATCTAGTACTGTGCTTAAATTTGTATGCACCAAAGAGGAAAGCTCATCAGATCAATTACCTTGAAAAATATTTTAAAAAAAGCCACAGGGAAGTTACGTTATGTCAATGAAAATATTTTTTGTATAAAATAAATGCTTTTTTCCTCATTAGACTACAGATTTATTGAGATCCCTATGTATGAGATTAATACTCACCATTGAATTAAGTGCATTGACAAAGAAGATTATGTTGAAAAATAAGTATTTGTTGTATAAAATAAATTATTTTTTCATCATTAGCCTATGGAGTTATTGATGTACTTACATATGAGATTAATATTTATCACTGAATTAAGTGCATGGACAAGGAAAAGATTATACTGAAAAATAAATATTTATTGTTTAAAATAAATGTTTTTCCTCATAAGTCTACAGACTTAGTGATGTATCTACATACAACAGTTTTGTAATATCTACCTTTTTCTTTATCGTTGAGTATTTCTCTTTCAGGTTTATGTTGACCAGCTTGACTCGGATGTTGTGTCCGTGACAAGACACAGCCCCAGCACACATCAGAGTATTGTTCTGATTGCTCGTACATCTTTCAGCTTCCCCCATGACCCCAACAACGATGGAACTTACATCAAGACGGTGAATCTCCCTGGTAAGGCACAATTAGTAATCATTTTATTTCAAGAAAGAAAATGTAGTGTGGTGGGAGGGGTGTAAATAGAATTAAAAAAAAATCTTTCATTTATTCAATCAGCAGACTTTACTAATACATATCATCTTGAGTCCCTTGCATTTATTATTTGTATTATTTCTAACCCATTACACATACCTTCCGTCTCATGGATACTCCAATTTTCACATTTTCTGTTTAGTCAGAAGTAATTTCAGTTTTTGGGACTAATGATGAATGGGAAATCTTTAACCTTTGTACCTGCAAAAAGATGGTGTGTTAAAAGGATGGTTTTTCCCTTGACATTGCTATTATTGTAACTACCTTGGCAATATTTTATTTTAATCATTTCATTCTTTTTCTTTTTCTCTCCATCACCTCTGTCCCTGACTATTCCACACTGTGACAATATAAAATCTATCAAGAATGGTGATATATTGTAAAGAAAAATAATTCTTTCAAAAATATTTATTTAAAAAATTTTGAAACTAGCTGTGTGTCTCATTTTGTGCGCATGTGTAGATGTGGCAACAAAGCCTAGTCCAGTGAAATTCTAATGGATGAAAGCATCACAAAAAACCTTTCCAATTTGTCATATTATTTTTTAAATAGTGTTTGTTGATATATAAAATTATGCAAAGTCGTTATATATATATATATATATATTAAGACATTTTTATGTTTATACATTCTTTTTTATAGATACAAATATTTAAGTAAATGCTCTGTTTATAATAAACAGTATCAAACAATATTTACCAACCTGAATGTGCAAGAAATTTTCGCAGAAAATATTTGTCCTCTGACAGGATTTGAACCTGTATCCTATATGGAACGATCATTTAGCTTTGTGCCTTTAACCGATTTGGCCACAGAAGAGTGTTCGGTTAGCAAGGTCGAATTTACTGTCTTTAAACTTCAATCTTCCATGAATCTCTCACGTACATTCATATCTGCTCAAAGCACATTCAAATGTAAACAAATGACATCACACATTATGAAATGGACAAATATTTTCTGCGAAAATTTCTTGCACATTCAGGTTGGTAAATATTGTTTGATACTGTTTATTATAAACAGAGCATTTACTTAAATATTTGTATCTATAAAAAAGAATGTATAAACATAAAAATGTCTTAAAATAATTGTCAGACTTTGTCCATTTCATAATATATATATATATATATATATATATATATATATATATATATGCACATACATACATATATTAATTAACATTTTTTTTTCCTCACCAGTTGCATGACTCTGAGTTTCTTGCACAACACAGTGTGTGATATTATATATTCATTTACATATATATATGTATGTATGCATGTATAAGGTGTATTTTGGGGCAGCAAGAATTCTCTTAAAGAAGTTCTGTCTATCAATTTTTTTATTAAATCTTTCAAATTTACATATGTTTTTTTTTCTCCAAAATTCATATTAACTTTGATGGAATCAATTCCAAGTCACCCAAGGTGCTGTCATCAAACTGAAATATTTGTGTCTCTGTTTTATTCATTTTCTCCATACATATATCTGACAGAGAGCGCATATATTTTCTTTAATAAGATTTTTTAAACATTCAGGCCGGTAGGCAAAAAATAAATAAACGGTTTAATAGATAAATGGAGTGTCTACTCAAATATGGATATTCACTAATAATAATGTTTAAAGTGATAAAATCTGTTGCATTAATAAGTAAAACATCCATTACTTCTTTAGAAATTGCTTTGTTTACGTTCTGATATGAAACTGAGCAGATATGAACTTTAAAGAATCTAGGAAGTATTTGTGTTTAGAAAGCACTATTCAGTTCTGCTTGATCACCAATGCCCTCTATAGCTAAGTCAGTCTAATGCACGTCATATCTAACAACAGTTTCTTCTGCAAAAGGGAACACAAGTTTGAATCCTACTAGAGAGTGCATATTTTTCTTTAATAAGAATTCAGGCTGGAATATAAAAATAAATAAACGGATCGTCTACTCAAATATGGGTATCCACTAAAAATAATGTTTAAAGTGATAAAATCTTTTGGATTAATAAATAAAAAATTCAATACTGCTTCTTTATATATATATATATATATATATATATATATATATATATATAAATAAATAGATATTTCTTTCATCTGGTTTTATTTTTATCCTTTTCTTACCTCCTATCTTCTCTGCTTTGACAGCCTATCTTTGTTTTTCTTTTATCACCATCTCTCTCCCTCTCACTCTTACTGTGTGTGTGTATTCGTGTGTGTGTGTGTGTGTGTATGTATTTCTTTCGCCTGGGTTTTCTTTTGATTTGTTCTATTTTTCTTATCTTTTATCTTTCCTCTTTCACTACCTGTCTCTTGATGCCTTTCTTTCAACTCCATCCCTTCTTCCTTTCCACACGCACATACAGATTCCACCCCAAGCAAGGTAATAAAAGCACTAAGATGCAAAAGAGTGTGAAAGAATCTGAAAAAAAATCTAAGGAGAGAGAACAATAAAAGAACAGGAATTAAGAAGACAAGATAATGATTGACATTGCATTTAAATTTTTGAAGATCAAATTTCACTGGAAAGCAACAAACCAAAAGAGAGTTCCAGGACTGCTAACATTGCAGATTCTTTTGATTTTATCAAACATCTCTAAATACACAACAGAAGCTCCAAACCATATATTGTAGCAATATTTCATGCATAATTACAACTCAGACATATGTTGAAAAACATAATGCTCCTAACACTCATAATTGTATATATTTCTCATATATATATAATATTGTGTTAGGAATATTACTTCCTTCTATTGTTTCTGTTTATTTTCATTGTATAACTTGCTTCCTACAGCGCCTGTGGATTACATTTTATTTATCTTTCCCTACGATGCATTTGAACTTAAAGTGTGACGCCAAATCTTTATGCAATTCAATTGTTTGACAATCCACCTGACTTGAAGTTCAGAAGAAAGACAGCTTAAGAACTTTGTTCCAACCCATCCTAATTGAATGTGAGGAAGGAGATCCTTAGAAAGTTTCAAGGATATAAAAGATTGTCTGAAGGAATGTCACTTTTCTGTTCCCAGATCAAAAAAAACAAAACCTAATTATATTGCATGCCTCTCCCATCTAAGTAGAAAGCAAACAATGTGTGGATATAAGGATTGTAATGATAGAAAAGGACAAATTACCCAAAGATTCCTCTATACTGTTTTATACTACATTTTCAAGCATTATAGATAGATGATGATTATGGAAAAAAGGACAGAAATTTAGCAAACTTAGATCATTGTGTCTGCAAAAAAATATGGAATGTCAAAAGGACAGTTTTTCCCTTGACACTGCTATTATTTTAACTACCTTCCTTCCTTGGCAATGTTTATTGTTTTAAAGATCAATGATTAGAATTGTAATAAAGCCTAAACATATGATGAAAGTGAATTTTTACATTCTTTTTTGTTCTTGAGAATTTACAACAAAAATATTAAACACTATTTACTTATTATAATTGTTTATTTACAAGAATAATTTTATATTTACAAAATTCTAAAAGTTAATATAATTTAAACTAATGCAATGCAATATTTATCCTTTAACAATTTATAAAGAAATAAATATGAAAGCAATTTTTTATTCATAGTTTATAAAAATTTACTAAATTATTAAAAAAATATGAGTCAACTAAGGAAATATTTATTATTTTTCTTTTTTATAAAGTTTGGATTAGTTGGTCATAAGCCAATGTTTTGCCAACCATTTCAATAAACAATATAATAAATAGTATAAATAATAAATATTGTTTATAATTTTTGTTGTAAATTCTCAAGAACAAAAAAATGTATAAATTTACTTTTGTCATATGTTTAGATTGTATTACGGTTCCAATCATAGTGGTGTCAAGGAGAAAATCGTTCTTTTGAAACTCCATTTTTTGGCAGGCGTGAAGGTTCAAGTTTGCTGGAAAGTTATTGATTTTATTCTGAAAAAGTTCTTTTTATTTCAGTTCATAATGTTTATACTGAGTAGCATAAGATTTTATGATGCTTTAAACATTATTAAAGTAACATTTTTTAGTGTAATGATAGTAATCTCAGATAAGAATGCAGGATTAAATTTTCTGTTTGTAAAAAAATTGTTTATTCACTTCTGAACTCTTTCAAATTAACTTGAACTGAATAAAGGGTATGTCATTTTGTGGCTTTCTTTTGGATATTCAATCTTCTTGTAAATATGTGAGGGATTCTCCTTCACTGCTCCTAGTCTGGGTGTTTATATAACTTCCTGATATCTAGTCTTGTGTGTGTATATTCTCATTTTAACTGGATTCACTTTCTTGCTTATCTTTTGAGGCTTAACACTTGGTGACTTTAAGGTTATCTTCTCTTGAGGTTCCTACGTCTTTTGACTTTCTAAGGTAACTCTGAGTACTGAACTTACTTTGGTATTTGTTAGGGTGAATCCAGTACATATTGGGGTTAACACAGATCAACTAATTGTAGATTTACAGTTCCTAACAGATATTAAATTTGATTCAGACCTCTGGTGTCTTCTGCATGAATTATATACTGCATTTGAAACAGCTAACTTTTTTTGTTGGAAGTCTATGCTTCAACAGTAGTAGTACATATAGATGATTGGCTGTAGGAGTTATACATAGCAGCAGCTGGTGAGCACCTTTAAAAATCCATGTTTTCTAAAAAAAACTCTCTTCTCTTTGCCTTTGCATAAGGTCACAGGCCCTCTGGGTAAACAACCATTTCCAGCTAGTCAGTAAGTAAGAATTCGTTTTAGAAATGTAAACCTTCAGACTTAGACTCTGCTGTTAACAAATGATATCCATTTTTTTTTCACAGACTTTTATTTCTTATTTGTATTTTATTGATGCTGTGTCATCCACATATCTTCTGCTGTTAAGATTATGGCTGCCAATAATGCATACTGTTAAGACTTCTAATTCTCTGAGAATTGTTTCACTCTATAGGTTGAATAAACTTTTATTCTGCCAGTTTGTTATTTGCTTAATTTTGAACTTTATTTATCTACATCAGTGTTTTTCATGCACCACTTTTACTCTTAATGTTTTTTGGAGGACCCCTATAAATATTCGATGTAAAAAAAATGTTTATTTATTCTTTACTAATAGATAAATTTAGGACGTATTATAGAAATAGTAAATACATATGCTTTATTTTGAAGTAAAACTGATTTAATGAAAATAAACTTGTATTTAACAACTAAATTCTATGGAACATTTATATACACTAATAAAATAACTCATAATATAAACCATTGAGATCCTTGTGTTTGATGCTGCTTTGCGAGTTTTTTTTATATTTGGCTCCATTGATGTCAATGATAGTCAAAGATCACTCATTTTCACAATGTCAAGTCTGTTACTATGTTGATTAATTTATATTATTTTATTTTATTTTATCAATATTTAATATTAATATTATTTATTATTAATATATCAAATTAATTTATATAATAAATTATAGCCATTGTATAATTTTCCTTTATGTATATAATCCTTCCTTTATATATACTTCTCTGTTTGTATTCAACTTTTACTATTAAAACATATGGTAGACTAAAAGAGACACTAATTTAAATTGCTTGATTTCATTTTCTACTAGTTTTAGAGTTGTTTTCCTATTTTTAGTATTTTAATATGGTATAGATTACTGCAGAAATTCCAGTTCTCACTGTTCCAAAGTGAAATTACTCTATGGACCTCTAAAATATTACCGTCGACCCCCAATTTGCTATTTTTTGTATGGACCCTAACATCTGTAGAACCACATTTCTGTTGCTTCAATCTGTGAGAAGACTGATATTATGTAACAGTTCAGTACTCTTTTCTTTATTTCTATTGATATTTTGAATAAATCTGATGAGAAGACCCATCCTTGCCTTACATCTCTTTTTCTGTGTATTTATTCAGTTCATTTTCTGTCCAGGCAATTTGATCCCAGTATATGTTCTGAATTATTGTAATTGCTTTTCCAAATGACTCTCTATCAGGGATTAAAAAAAAAAAAAGAAGATAACCAATGAAAATGTGTTTCTAAATCATGGAATGATCTGTAAATGGCATTCTTCTTATTATTATTGTTAGGTATCATTGAAGATGTGCTTTTTGAGATGAAGATGGTTCACAAAGACAGCAGTGAGTACAGGCGACACCAGGAACACATCAATGGTTTACCCAACTACCAAATGCAGATTACTGAGAAAATAAAGGCGGAACAAAGCAAGATGATCTTTGTTAGTCATGTGGATGATAATGGAACTCAGATTAATTTCAAGAACTTCACTCCCAGCAGTGTCATTGCTTTTAGGTAAGTTATATACCTACTTTATCTATCTAAGTATATACAGTTGGGGGAAGAAATATTCGTACATCATGAATTTTTTTATTTAACATAGATTTTATAAAAGAATTTTATAAATCCATACAATATTTGTATACCATGGCATAATGCTGCAATATGCAAAAAAAATTCAGAAAAATTTATTATATAAATGAAATTAAAAAATTTTGAGCTGAAAAAGTATTTGTACAACATTATAATACCTATTTATTACTTTGTAGCATATCTCTTACTCAATTCAACAGCAATCAGTCTCTTTCTGCAGCTTTTAATCAATGATTTGCAAGTTTCTGTTGATATTTTACTCCATTTTTCTTTGCATATTCTCTTTAGGTCCAGGATGTTTTTTCAGAACTCTTTTATTAACTTGAATTTTTAATAAACACCACCAATTCTCTATTGGATTCAAATCTGGAGACTGTGATGGCCATTCATGTGTATTGACATTGTTTTCAATAAGCCATTTTTTTCATAGATTTAGCCGTATGTTTAGGGACATTATCTTGTTGCAAAACCCATTCATTTGTGAGTCCAAGCTTTACTACTGACCCAAACAAATTGATATATTTTTGAATTCATTCATCTCTAAGTTCCCTGTACCATTAGCAGAAAAACCATGACATTACCACCACCAAATTTCACCGTTGGGATTGTGTTCTTTGGTGAAAAGGCTGTGCTGTCTTTTCTTAGTTGACTTCTAGGAAATTCATTGCTTATTGTTCACTTTATAACAATAATACCTGATGCTTTTAATTCTTCCTGTATTTCTCTCTGAGTAATCATTGGATTTTATTGAATTTTGCACTGAATTTTTCTCATTGATCTGGGAGAAATCTTAAGATGGGTCACCAGATCTTGATTTTAAATTATAACCATTGTATAATGTAAGGCAAGTATGTGGTGAGTATATTCAAAAATCAATTTGGCTGACTACAGAAAAATGGAAGAATTAAAGTCTGTCATGGTTCAAATGTTGGAACAACAATTGCAACAAAAGCAGAAAATTTTGGAATTATTATTACATAGAACTTCATTGAAAAGAATGTCAAATTTATTCACTCCAGAAGCAATTTTATACAATCCAGACAAAGAAATAACATTTCCAGTATATTATAGAAGATACAACAAAAATCTTCAAACAGGATTGTTTGCACTGGGATGATGGAAAAAAAAGTTTGCTTATTATTAAGAAAACTGTTTTATGCGGAACATGAAAAGTATGTCTAATATTTATACAGGGCTTAACTGCTAATAAGGATGCTGAAATAAGAGCTAAGATAGTGTCTAAATTAGAGATGGATTCAAAATTAACTCTCCAGAAAATAGCTGAAGAGTGTCAGTTTGATACTGCAAGGATTGAGGAAAGAGACATTTCATATGTACATAACGTTCGACCATTTAAGAAGAAGGACTATAGACCTCCTGCAACACCTAAGAGAGCATTCAAAAAAGATTATGCATCTTTGTCAATATCCAATGCTTGCCATGGTTGTGCTGGTAAACCTTTTTAAATATAATTGTTTTTTCAGGAACAAAAAATGCTATGAATATGGGAAGATTTACTCATTGTAAATACAAAAAATGGAAAAAAAAGAATGTATGTGAATTTTGAAAAAAATGAAAAAAAATAGAAGAATGTATGTGAATTTTGCCATATTAAATGGTGGTAATTTTTTTTCTAAATTCAATCTTATGGATGCTTGTCTACAAGTAGATTAAGTGTGTTCTAAACTTTTAACAATTAACACTCATAAAGGACTGTAAAATTTAACTGACTTCCTTTCAGTATAAAGGTAGCACCAAGCATATGCCAACAGATTATGGATACAATGCTTGCCAGTTTGAATTGTGTACAAGCATATTTGGATGATGTACTTATAAAATGTGAAACCCAAAACCAGCATACAGAAAATGTGAAAAACGTTTTTGAAAGAATTAAAGACTATAGTTTTAACATCAGTGAAGGAAAGTGTGAACTATTTATGAATAGAGTAAAATACCTAAGGACAAATTATCGAGGCAAACAAAAGACAATCAGATGCATCAAGGATAAGTGCAATAAGAGATATGCCTGTCCGAACAAATGTATCAAAGTTACAAGCATTTTTAGGGTTACCTAATTATCATGTATATGTACGAAAGATTCAGAGATTAACAGCACCCTTGTATAACTTGCTAAAGAAAGACATTAAATGGGATTGGTCAGATAAATGTCAAAGTGCTTTTGAAGAGAGCAAAAAAGTCCTAATGCCACACTTGTCTCTAGCGCATTTTGACCCTAAATTAGAGATTGTGGTTGAAGCAGTTGCAAGTGAGTCAGGTATTGGAACAGTGATACTACACAAATATGAGGAGGGAAAAACTAAACCAATATCTCATGCTTCAAGATCTGCCTATCTGTGTATCTATATATCTATGTATGTATGTATGTATGTATGTATGTATGTATATGTCTATCTATGTATGTATGTATGTATATGTCTATCTATGTATGTATGTATATGTCTATCTATGTATGTATGTATATGTCTATCTATGTATGTATGTATGTATGTATGTATATGTCTATCTATGTATGTATGTATGTATGTATGTATATGTCTATCTATGTATGTATGTATGTATGTATGTATGTATATGTCTATCTATGTATGTATGTATGTATGTATGTATGTATGTATATGTCTATCTATGTATGTATGTATATGTCTATCTATGTATGTATGTATATGTCTATCTATGTATATATCTGTCTATGTATGCATGTATCTGTCTATCTATGTATATATCTGTCTATGTATGCATGTATCTGTCTATTCATGCATGAATCTGTCTGTCTATACATTCATGTATATGTCTATGTATGTATGTATATGTTTATATATGTATTTATGTATGTATGTATGTATGGATGTAAGTATGTATCATCCTATATATGGACATATATATATATGTACTATCTATTAAATTTATATGTATTGTATGTATGGGTTTCGATACATATTTATCTATCTATCTATCTATATATATATATATATATATATATATATTAATGTATCTATCTGTATACATAAATGTATATATATATATGTATGAATGTGTTTATATATATATATATATGAATCTCTCTCTCTCTCTCTCTATATATATATATATATATATATATATATATATATATATATATGCATGTATCTCTATATATTTGTATGTATTTATCTCTCTCTCTCTCTGTATATATATATATATATATATATATATATATATATATGCATGTATCTCTATATATTTGTATGTATTTATCTCTCTCTCTCTATATAT